ACCGGTGAAAGCCTCGGAGATTATTTCAAGAGATTTCAAGCCAAGGTGTCTAGAAGTTGAGGACACTGGCAATATGGTCGCTGTTCGGCGGGAAAAACTGAAGAAGAAATGAGAATAGAATTTTGTATTAAATCTCCCTAATTGATTTAGGAAAAGAATGAATACAATCTCTCTTTGCAATCTCTCTCTAACTAGCTTAGAAAAAGAAATTACAACTCTCTTCGATCGGTTTCTTAATTTACAAAAGAAGGGGTCGATGGAGACCCTTCCTTTTGTTTAATACTGGATTCTTATTGGTATTGATGGGAGTCGAGATCCTTGCTAGGAGTTAATAATACATCAAATCTAAGCATTTTCTTATAAAAGCCCTCAGACATGAAATATATAACTCGAAGATGTGGAAGCTTCATGAAAGAACATTACAAATCTTACAATTTGTTCCCAACCATACTCGAGTTTACCTAGGTCAACTCCAAATTCCTATCGAAGATAACTATAAGCATGAAGGGCTATACCATAAAAATGTATAACTGCCATTCTTGCATTGACCCTCCCGTATCACATTGCCACTTTGTCAACCCATTGTTATTTAGACTGTTGAATTTGACAAGTGGCTAGAAGTGACGTGTTAAAAGATCTTTTAAAATCTTGAAGTGGGACCTGAAGTGGCCCATAACTTGTATAGCGAAGCTAGGGCTTAAGCTGGAGCTAGCTTCATGAGGCTTTTAACAGTATGGTTAAATTTATAAGGTTGTATAGTTCCTTGAAGGTTAGAGAACTTTTGTTGTTATTTGACATTGTGATTTTCATCCAAACGGAAATTTCTAAGTTTTGTCAGGGTTCAACATATGGCTGATCAAGTTTATCTGCGTGCTTGTGTAAGAAATACATAGTCAATTTTTTTTTATTTTTTTGGAAAAGCTCACGTTATATCCCACTTGGACTTGTCCCATAAAAAAAAAGCAGTGAGCACATCTGTTCTGGGAGTACGTAGCACAAGGGCGTTCAACTCTTCTTCTTAACTACCCTATTTTCCTAATACTCGCATCTAATCTAGGAACATTTTCCACACATTTTTGCTGTTTTCCTAGTAATCTATTTATAATTTTCCCTTTTGGAGTGAAAGAAATACTGAAATACTCTCTCTCGTAGGCTTGCAGCTCACCCATAAAATAACGGTGAATTGTATTGCATCTGTGCATATTTCCTGTGGAAAGCTTTCATCATCATCCATAAAAAGCAACTCTTTGGTATGGTCATAATACATGTTTACCCTGTGCTAACAGTGATTAGGCAAATGCTATGTACTTTAGTAATTTATTATCTCACAGTTGTCCTTTCTTCCAAGAGAATGCAGCTTAATTAGACACAGCATTAACTTGAATGATATTAATCGGATATATTCGTAGTGTCTTTGGCATATTAAATCAGTTAACGTGCTCCTCTGCCTGGAATCATTTCAAACGGTTATCATCAAGCTGAAACATGGGCATTTAACCTCAAGAGGGGTTTATATTTTGCGCATGAGGCAATCCTCCGGGTTTTGGTCCTTTTCTGTTCATCGTCTGAGAAAAAGGGCTGATCATACTCCCTTTAAAAGCACGAGTTCGAAAAATCTTTTTTAGACAAATATACCACTTTATAATTTGAACTACCTTATCTATAATCAAATTCTAATTTTTAATGATCAATATTACCCTTCACTATTTTGAATATTTTATTTATATCTTAATCTATCCTAATCATAATTATATCTTATCCTCATCCTATGTGAACCATGTTTAGCTTAACAATTTAAAAAAACTAATATTAATAAAATATATAAAACATAAAAATGATATTAGTTTGTTAAGATAAAGAAAATACAAGTAGATAACATATTATAATACATGAAGTATTGCAAAAAAATCATAAAAAGTTTTAAAATTGCATAAAAGACCCTGAAAAGTTCAAAACTATAAAACTCATCCAAATGTCTTAAAACATAAAATAAAAAACATGAAATTAAAAAATTAACATCAGTTTACAAAGAATTTAAAATTTACATTTAACACCTCAATGTCTCAAAAATTATAGAAACACCCTCAAAAGTTTAAATTACAGACAAGCACATTAAAATTCTAAAAATTTAAAACTTACAAACAACAATGATGAATTCAAGAGATTACCATGATACACCTAAAATTTTTGACATTTAAATTTAAATTTTTTAATTAACACCCTTAATATCTCAAAAATTATAAAAACACCTTCAAAAGTTCAAATTATAAAAAGCCACCCTAAAATTCTAAAATTTGTAAATAAAATAAGATGAATTCAAGATATTACCCTTAGACACCTAAAAATTAAAATTTTCCAAAATTAACCTCAAAATTTTTTAAAAACTCCTTCAAAATTTAAAAATTGTAAAAAAAACTCTAAATTTTCAAAGTTTTTAACTAGCACACATCAAATTCGTCGATTGGTAGACCGCTGAAATTTAATATTTTTCAAAATTAATCTATAGTTTTAATAATTGCAAAAGACACCCTCAAAATTTTAGAGTTACAAGAAATATACTAACATTTAAAAAATTACCACCAACACATGAAACATAGAATTTACAACTACCAAACTTAAAAGTAAATTTTTTTAAAAACTCTTTCAAAATTTTAAAAATTATAAATCACACCCTCAAAGTTCAAAACCACAAAAATGGGCTAAAATTTTAAAACTTGGCAAAGAAAAGTGTAATTGTTTGGTATTTTTCATATATATATATATTAAAATTTCTAATTTAGGGATTTACTATCCATTTTCAGCATCTAAGAATAGTCTAAGTTGATACTGGTAAACAAAAACAATAAGAATTGATTAAAAACATCCGGTTAATGGATAAAATTTTTAAAAATATTATAGATTAAAAATTATCGGCACTATATAAATTAAAGTAATTTCATATAATTTTAGTAATAAGTTGGGGTAGCCAAAATACATTCGTAACATTAATTGATAGATGTTTAAATCCATAGAAATGATAAAACACTATAATATTATACCTTAGCATTAATTGATTTTAATTTAGAAACTTTAATCTTTGACGTTAATAATATTTATAGGGTAAAAGAATACAAGGAATTACATATGGAGAAACTATTAGAATATTTAGAGATAACTTTAAAAGAATTGAGTTATTTCCATTGCAAATGGGAAAGTGATGGAAATAAATCTAAAATTCAGAAAACGTCAATGAATCACTTGAATTGGCATTAACATAAGACATATCTATTAATGAAGCACTGAATGAGTTACATTAAAAAATAATTTAATAACTTTATCCTAATCAAAGAAAAAATCTCCATGGAAGACATAAGAAAAATTAGTAAGTATTCATAAATTCCATACTGTGTTCTTCAAATTAAATATTAATATTATAATCTAAGAGAAATTGGTAATGAATAATGCAGGTATTTAGTTTAGATCTTTATGGAAAATGACAGGGATAGAGCAAAGGTAATATTATTGAAATAACAGAAATTCTTATTGGATGCACATCAGAAGAATTCATTTTAGAGGAAAATAAAGAGATAGCTTCTAATTTATTTAAGTAATAAATTAGGAACACAAAGAATTTTATATATATGAAATTAATATTTATTCTCATTGAAATAGAAAAAAAATCAAAGTCTATATTTTGAGCAGTTTGTGTTGAACATCATAAGTACATTTGACTTCTTTGTAAAGTTAAATGAGATGATAAAAAATTAACGAGCCTAGGAAAGATAATAGCATAAAAATACAAAATTAGCCTGATGTCACAATTGATGTAGATGATGAAGACAATACTCTAGAATTGTCCGAGAAATGATAAATGATAAACCTGAAGAAGGATTGATCTTAACTCAATAAAAAATAAAATAGAAGAAATAAAAATAATATTTTATGAATATTTTATAGAATAGTTTAATTATTTTGAGTGAAATTAGGAATCTTTAGAAGGGAGTTTCATGAATTTTTTTCAGTACTTTTATATTCTTATGTGGATGTTTTTATCATATAAAAGTATACTAGAGTTAGCATTAATCTTTAATTTATATTTTTTTATGAAGTCTATCAATGATTAGGAATAAACTTCATATTCTCTTTTACATCGTTTTAACATACTTTAAATCAATCATTTTGCCATATTGGTTTTAAATATTCACCTTCCTTGTATAACACTATTTTAATATTTTTTACTTTGCAATGCTATACTTTCTCAAATAACGCTTAGTTTCATATCGGTCAAAAATAATATGAAAATTCAAATTATTTTTAAATTATATTTGTTTTTTGTCAATTCAAATATCAACATGAAAATTTAAATTGGGTGTATCCCATTTAAAAAAACATAAAAAAATAATCGGGATGTAAGAGTTTAAAGAAAAAAATAAGCACAAACTGTCAAAAATACTTAATCATGGTATTAAATCACGTGCATTGCACGTGTGTAAAAACTAGTAATAATAAAAAGGCTCAGAGAAAGAGTTGCAAGAGATTTCCACGGAAGAAAATAAGCAAATAGATGATAAAGACCACTCAAAGCCAGCAGTGTGCGTTGGTGCTAATCATTTTACCTTGTCGAACCATTTCACCCAAGAAAGTAACAACTCATCATCAAAACACTAAGCTTCTTACAAACAAACATATGGAAATAACATGATAAACATTACTCTAGTCTAAACAAACATATGGAAATAACATGATAAACATTACTCTAGTCTAAACATGGTAAATATTTTTCTAGTCCAAAGAACTCCATTAAAATGGGTGCGCTAACAATTTTTCATGATTTCTTTTTGGGGGGCAAAACCTCAAGAGTTGTTCTTAGGTGCTTCTAATAGGAGACAAGAGTACGTTCAATATCATGAAGATCCAACTAGATTTTACACAGACAGCATACAATTAAACATTGAAGTACAAAACTGACCAACATGTAATAATGTAGAAGAACTTCCTCAATGAATGCATACCTCAGAAAATGCTAAAGCAACAGGCTTATATATAATAGATATCCAATAACAAGAAAATGAGCAACTAGGATGATACAGGGGACTCAAACCCCCACTTAAAACCATTTCATCAAAGAAGGTAACAACTTATCACCATTTCCTAAAACAAACAACTTGACATGAGAAGACTGAGCTTCTTGCAAACAAACTCGCACAAATCAACAATAAACAATAAACATCATTTTGATTTCTTCCCTAGCTTCTTTTTAACAACTTCATCAATATACATTATACCCTTGCCCTTGTAGACCTCAGGCGGCTTGCAGCTACGAACAGAAGCAGCAAACTGGTGCACCCTATGTTTGTCTAATCCAGTGCAGCAAACTATGTTGGGTTTGAAGCAAAACACTCGGACAGCAGGAGGGACAGCAAACTCCACCTCGTGGCTGTAACCTAGTTTCAGGAAAAGCTGACGGCCTTCTGCTTCGGTTCTAGCTTTGAATCCAACTCCCACAATTTTGAGAAACCGAAAAAATTTAGATTCCATATGTTTTCTAATTCAGCTTTCCTGCTAACAAAATAAAAGCTAATTAGAATTTATGCAAATAGGGTGCACAACATTCAGATTCAAGATGAATAACACTCACCAAAAACTATGGAATATGGTCGAGAAAGTCACAGAAAGAAATAACAAAAAATGGAAAAGATGAAAATTGATGTTTCTGTAAAGATGGTAAGGGTGATACACATGACACAAATTCCTTCTACAAAATACAATTAACTTACATGAGTAAGTCATTGACATTCATTATGGATACAACATTCCTTATTAATCTGTTGGGCAGTTAAGAAATGAAGAATGAGAGTAGCAAAACGAGAATGTTACAATGAACTCTTAGAGATATACTATGAGATAGGATAAGAAATAAGTGCAATCATAAGAGGTTAGATCTTCCTCATATTGAGGATAGTATGAGAAAATCAATTAAGATGGTTTGGTCATGTGCAACGGAGGCCACAAAATGTGCCAATCAGGATAGGAAGTAAAGAGTATAATTGATGGAGCAAAGATTAAAGATGATCTAAGAGAACTTATAAAGTTAAGAAGGATCTAATAGTGATTAACTTAAGGGAGAAGATAACCCTAAAACAAAACTGAACAAGAGAATATGATTCATGTAGCTGACCCCAAAAAAAATTGGGATAAAAACTTTGTTGTCATTGTTGTTGTAGGCATACAACATTCAGCTTCAAGATGAAAATAAAATTCATCAAGAATTAGGAAACTTAGTTGAGAAAGTCGATGAAAAAAATAAAATGAAATCACTGGTTTTTAGTGAAAACTTCTACTTTTATATCTATTGTATTTTAATGAGCATGAGAAGGGACATGACACAACTTCCAAATACCAACGATGAGTACATTCGATAATAAGATAATTACAACTATTTAAATGAACAAGTCATTGATAGTTTGGTACTTGCTAGAAGATCAAATTTTATGAGGTTTATTAATAACTTGAAATCTTGAACAAGTTAATCTATGAGTATCATTCATCTCTAGTAGAGTAAATACATGTTCATAAGGTTAAGGACATATTTGGCAACTTTGGATTATAATTCACTTGGCTTATAATCCACAAATGGATTCTAAACCAAGTGGATTATAAGCCAAAGTATATGGTAAATTTAGTGGATTATATTCCATATATAATAGTAAAGTGTTTGGCAAATGGGTGGCCTACAAGCCTTCATTGTTGTCAAAATAATCAAAAATATTTAATGGAGTTGGAGAAAGATAAATGGGTTTGATAATTTTTGGAATGATGATAGCTATATTAGTCTTTCACTCGGTCAAACCTTATGGCTAATAAGCCACCAAAATATAAGCTAGATACTCTTAGCTTTACTTTTGTTGGATTATAAACCAAAATAAGTCATTTACGATACATGTTGACCACTTGTCAAACATGCTCTGAGTAATACCAAATAAACAAAGAAAAGAGCCATGACAACTAAAGATTCGTATTTTTAGTTGTCCTCTCTTACCAATAGGGTATTTTTGAAAGCTCTGGCATCAATAAACCCCTTTCTCTCGCCGGAGGCAAGAATTCTGACATGAATTGTAATATTTTTTTAAAACTTCTTTTACCCCCGACCTCTCAAAGTTATTATATCTACACTCTCCTTCTCCTTCAACCTCACCGGATTTAAATTTCTTTCATCCCTTTACCCAATAAGACCTCTTTCACACTATCATTCAATCATCAATAGAGCCTCATCCTTCTATTTCAATCTCCTCCAATTCAAACCCAAACTCTAATCCAAACAAGGGGTTGATCATCTTGAGATTTTTGAGCTGCCTTAACACTCATAGAGCTTAAAGATGGGCTTGGATGTAGGTTGTTGGGGTTGAATTAGGATTTGGGTTTGAATTGGAGAAGGTTGAAGGAGAATGAGAAGGTAGATACAATATATTTGAAAGGTCAGAAGAAATTTTCCCAATAAAAAATTACAGTTCCCACCAGAATTCTCACTGCAGGGGAGAAAAAAGATCTTATTAATGCTAGAGCTTTTAAAAATACCCTATTGCTAATAGGAGTTAAGTAAACCAATCTAGTATTTTTAAGTAAACCAATCTAGTATTTTAGCCGAGCCAGGAATGGAGTTTTGATCCATCACGATATGGGCTAATATGAGGAGACTGGACCACACAAATCTTGGAAGGGGAACCAAACAAGTATGCACACAGTTCTTTTAAAAAGAAACTTGCAATTCACCAGCACAAAAACACTCTAACCAAATAAAAAAACACATCCTATACATCATTTATAACAATAAAGATCTAACACTCCATCACGAATGTGCAGAAACATTATTGAAGTTAAAGATCCAAAGAGATCAATTCTCAAAAATGTTGGGATATCAAGAGCATGAGCAGGACACGGATATTTATAACTATTAACAGATCAAGACAAACATGAACTTTGAGTCTTTTTTTAACAGAAAATAACTATCAAATATGCATAATTCCTAAATTTTTATGTATTAACAGCTGACTGTGCATAATGGACAACTTTGGTAAGTTTAAATAAAATGCTTAAAACTCATTGGTGGACATGAAGCCCTCAACACAATAATCTCTCGTTCTCATTCTACTATCAAATCAAAATAAATAAATATATATGAAACTTTGCCATATATTTATAAACATCCATGAGTTGATTCAAATAGGATAAACAATATCAAACAATTATCTCAAGGAATTTTTAACCAGCACTATAATGATTTCTGCTTAAATATCACGAATCATCCAAGTAAAATCATAACCAATATATTAAAAATCAAACAATTATCTCAATAATCATAAAGCAATATATTAAGAAAATCTGAAATTTGATTGACACCCACATTCAAACATATTATAATTCAAGGTTATTGATAGCGGATCGCGGCGCGTCGCGGCGAGGTACCGCTAATGCTATTGCGCGCTATTGCGGCGAAATAGCGGCAAATAGCGCACAGTCAAATAGCGGACAAATTTAAATATATTTAAATATCCTAAATAATAAGAAAATTCATAAAAAATCTAAAAATTCTATAAATGCATCCTTAATGCCTAAACATGAAATAGATGTGTAATAATTTCATAAAAAATCTAAAAATTCTATAAATGCATCCTTAATGCCTAAACATGAAATAGATGTGTAATAATAATTATATAATATTAACAGTAGAACTTTAATTCTTAAATTCTTTATTCATACAATAAATAAACATGTTATATTTCTTCATCCATTCAATAACTCAAAGAGATAAATTTATAATGATTTGATTGATTTCAAATGTTGATTATACAGGTTTTCTGGAAGTTGGAAATATCAAGGGCACTAATCATTTCGGTGCAGCTGCTGATTATGAATGAAGATCAAGCCGCTTATCGCATACATATTAATTAGTTGTAACTTGTAAATTTCTTGTATTATCAATTATCAGTAAATAATTGATAAGCTTGTTGTATCATGCATGACAAGAATTATAGCTCCTATTGACTACTCTGTTTTGGTTATGTACAGTTACAGGGCATTTACATGTCATAGGCTAATGGCGTGTGTCCAGATTGGTGTTCTCCAAGAATTAATAATATTTATCACAGACAAATTACGCACTTCAGCAAGAATCAACAGCCTAACACAAATCAAAAGCCTTGACCCGCTTCAAATTAAATTAAATGGATTTACATGCTCATAACTGTTTAGGTGAAATACTAGATAGCTAAGAACTTATTTATATTCTAAACAGACAAACTTCCTCTTCCCATCAAGAAAACAGACAGAACGAGCTTATCGTCAACTAATCAGAAAAAATTATAACACACTTTGTCTGTGACATCCGAGCAAATTCAGAAGAGAGAAATCAGAAAATGAAACCTCTTCTTTCTAGAAAGTGTCTCGCATAGCAACAAGCCAACAATTAAAATGAAAATGAAGACAGGAAAACTATGAGAACATTGAGAAGGTTTAAAATGAAAAGAGAAGACGGGGAAGCTATTTTACCTTTTCCTCTGTTGCAGATCTAGCCAACAGAGATGGAGACGACGCTGGGGGCTTGAGCTGTTGGAGACTTGAGGGAAACTTGTTGGAGACTCGGAGTTCGGAAGTCGTCTCGTCGCTGGCTGGACTCGGATTTCGGAAGTCGCTGGAAACACTGGCTGGACTCGGAGAGCGGAAGTCGCTGGAACGCTGGAACGGGTGAAGGAGCTCTGAGGAATTGGAGTTGCGCTGCTGTGGAGCTCTGAGGATGACAAAGCCGTCGTGGGAGAAAAATTCGTCGCTGGAACGGAGAAGATCCGCAGGCGCGGCTAGGGTTCGGGAGTGGGGGAGAAAAAAATCGTGTTTTATCTGCTTTTAACAAATCGGGTTTGGGTTCGGGTCGGGTTCAGCGCGGAAAAAATATCAGAAAATGAGTTTAGCGGGTTTAGCGGATTTTTTTCGCTTCTTTCCCGCTTTTGAGCGCTTTTACGCGCTTTACGAACACAAAGCGGTTTCCCCGCTTAATTCGACCGCGACACCCCTCCGCGTAGCGCTGAGGGGCCGCGACCGCGAAAGGCGCCGCTATAGCCCCGCTATCCGCCGCTTTTTTACAACACTGTTATAATTTAATGAAAAAGTTGAGCAATTTAGCTACATGAAAAAGTTTAAGTGTTAACTATTAATCAGACGACATTTTTATATAAACTAGTATGGTGCACGTGCGTTGCACGTGTACTCATTTTCATATATATAGTTGTTTTACTTTTTGAGAAGTGCATGTATACATACTTCTTTTACTTTTTGAACGTTTCTATGGCTTGAAAATGATGAAGAGACTTAAAATATACATTTTGGAATATAGTGTAGTCATATTACTTTTCTATATTTGATGAAATAATCGGGAATATGTTGTGATTATACTAAAACTATAAAAATTATATATTATAACGATATATGAAACAATTAAATAATAAAATTGATGTTATATATGTTGGATATAATTTTATTTACAAATTGTAAATTAATTTTTTTGTTTAAAATTAGCAACTAATTTACCTTTAATTTTAAAACTCCAGATACTTGGAATAATTGATGGAAAGTCAATTGGTCAAAATTAACATATGGTGTTAAGAATTAAAGAATATGGTACAAACGTAAATGTCAAAATAAAATTATTTAGTTATTTGAGCTCGAAAAATTAAAGAATAAATTAATATTTACTTCATTTGACATTAAAAAATAATTTTACTCAATGCCTAATAAGCTCGAAATTACATTAACAAACTTTTATAAATTGCACGTGCATTATAGAACTTCTACAAATTGAAGTTCGATCCTCCAAAATAGATAAAATTTCTCTTAAGTGAAAAACTAAAACTCCTCTCAGGTTATCTAGAGGAAGCTTGAAAAGCAACCGATTCTAATAAATACTATGACTTTCCTTCTTAATGGACTAAATATTTGAGCCAGTGCTAGTGCTACATTATAATAATAGTAAAGGAGGTTATGTGATGGGAAAGTTTTGAGTTTTTAGTTTGATGTCATTAAATAGATATAATGGTACAATTAAAAGAGGAGAATTTCAAAAGTTTTGATTGGATTAATGTCATTTAAGTGGGTTTGATGGAGTTATAAAACCATAAGTTAATTTAATTTAATTTAACATGCAATAATGGAAATGTAACTCTTGTGTCTAACAACGGTTAGGGTATTCACTGTGAATGAAATTTCTAATGAATACTATGACTTTCCTTCTTAATGGACTAAAAATTTGAGCTGGTGCTAGTGTTGTATTATAATAATAGTAAAGGAGGTTATGTGATGGGAACGCTTTGAGGTTTTAGTTGGATGTTATTAAATAGATATAATGGTATAATTAAAAGGCTATCTCTTCATGTACGCTATGTAATTAAGCATGAAGTATTATGTATATGATTTCATGTATGCATGTATGAGGGTGTATTTATTACATTTAGTTTTATTTAATTGAGGGTTATGAAAGGGATTTGAAGGAGAATGATTTATGATGTATGTATGTGTTATGTATATGCATGCATGTGTTTTATGTATGCATATATACATTTTCGAGGGTATTTTTGGAAGAAATGTTTTAACATACCAACACACTTTTATAATAGTATTAGATTAGCCATCTAGGCTCTTAAATTTTTCACTGAAACTAGCTACAGATAAGTGGAAGCATGCAGGTCCATAGCTATAGGATTAGGGTTTTAGAAGCTATTTATTTAATAAAAATTTTAATAAAGGAACAATAAAGATCACGTTTTCGCGAAAGCAAAATCAAATAGCACAAGGAAGAAGAAAGCGAGATACCTTCACCGGCGACAAACGGTGGAGATTAGGGCTGCGGTGGCTATGATTGCGAGTGAGATTTTGAGGATAGCACAAAAAGCTTGGATCTTTTTTTCTGTGGCTATTTTAGGAGGAAAAAGGCTGAAAATGTCTAAAAAGTAGTGGATACATGCCAACAGAACCCATTTTGAGATTTAGTTATAGACTACTAGGTAGCTAATAATAAAAAAATAAGTGCCAGATAAAATATATCAGCCTAAGGGCCTGGTATCATGCGCTTACATAGCACTACAGTCTAGGACAATCCATTAGTCAACCTTTCTTTACAAGACCACCACCAACTCGAAGCTATCATCCTTTTTCTTTCGACCATCATACACCATGGTGAAACATCATAGGAAATGATCTATCATGACAAGAAACGACTATCATGTTATGCTTGAATGAGCTACCTATAGCAAAAGGTACAAGACATTCCCTTCCGCTAAATTACCAAATTGACAAATTTTGTTGATCTAAGTACCAACTTAGTATATTTTCTATCTCAAGCGACGATAAGGTACATAAAGTGGACATAGTGACGACAATGCCTATTATTTTGCCAGAGCAAAATTTCCAGTGACTAAACGTCACATGATCATCACATGATGCTGAGGTGGCTTCTTACGTAGCAGATAGTTAGGGTTTCATTGGAACTAAAAAGTTTGCTCTGACAAAAAAATAGACATTGTAAGTGGATGCCACCTCAAGTTGGACACAATGATGACAATGCCTATTTTTTAACAAGTGGTCAACATGTATGGGAAATGGCTTATTTTGGTTTATAATCCAACAAAAATAAAGCTAGAGTATCTAGCTTGTATTTTGGTGGCTTATTAACCACAAGGTTTGACAGAGGGAAAGACTAATATACCCTTCATCATTTCAAAAATTATCAAGCCTCATTTATCTTTTTCCAATCCCATTAAATATTTTTTGATTATTTTGACAACAATGAAGGCTTGTAAATAGGGGTGTTAACGGAGCGGATACGGTTCGGATATGACACTTAATATCCATATCTACTTTCTATAAACAGATACAGATACGGATTATCTTCGGTAAGATAAAACCTTAATCATATCTACACTCATCGGAAACGGATACGGTTCGGATATTTGAAAATCGGATCGGATACGATCACGAATATGAAATAGATATTCAACAAATGGATATGAATCGGATATGAATTAGTACACCTATGTATAAATTACAACCAAATTGGTAAATGTATATGGTTTTTAAGATGGGAAGTACCCCTGATACTACGTCCATCGGCTTCAAATGGGCAATGTTTGTATTTGGCTCTAATGATATTGGTGACCTCTTTCCCATCAACTATTTTCTTTCCTATTTTATCTATTTTATCAAAATCTAACCACACTTCAGAATAACATCATTTCTTTTTAGGTTTTTCATCAATTTTACTTGAAGATTCCTCAACCACGGGTTCAACAGTAGGTGCAACATTAGGCTCAACAGTTTGTTCTTCATTAGAGGCTTGAATCGAAGGATTAAACATGATTTCTATTCAATGAAATTAAAAAAAAACTTAATCAAAAATCTTATAGTCACATATAACATATTGACAATGAAATTAAAACTATAGTTTCGATTCGACCTTATGGAACAGACGACGGATCCGACGGCGGATCTGAAGGAGGAATCGGGGTCGCAGAGGCGGCGGAAGG